GAAGTCGGACGCTTAACCGACCGAGCCACCCAGGCGCCCCACCTTCATACGCTTTCTATAGTTTTCAGCATACAGATCTTTTACATCTTTGGTTAGGTTTATTCCTATGTACTTTATGATTCTTGGTGCAATTGTGAATGGGATCAGTTTCTTTATTTGTCTTTCTATTGCTTCATTATTAGTGTATAAGAATGCAACTGATTTTTGTACATTAATTTTGTATCCTGCAACTTTGCTGAATTCATGTATCAGTTATCCATTACTTTTGACGAGTTCAAGTAAATTTCAAATTATTTGTTCTTTGATTGTCAGAACTCACTTGTAAAACTCTCTGGGACTGGTGTTTTCTTTGTGGAAAGATTTTACCTATGCAGTATCTTAAAAATTGTAGGACTATTGCAGCTTTCTGTTTAGTTTTTGATTGGTTTTGGTTTGAGTTGTATTCTTTTGGGACTTTATCCATTTCATCTAAGTTCCAAACTGTATCGCATAAAGTTGTTTATAATTCCTTTTTGTTACTTTTTAATATTATCAGTATAGCTAGTTTTGGCTTTTTTATTCCAACAATTATTTATGTCTTTACCCTTTTCTTAATGAGTGTTGCTAGAGATTTGTCTAGGTTTTTTTTTTTTTAATGTTTATTTATTTTTGAGAGAGAGACAGAGCATGAGCCAGGGAGGGGCAGAGAGAGGGAGACACAGAATCTGAAGCAGGCTCTAGGCTCTGAGCTGTCAGCACAGGGCCCGATGCAGGGCTTGAACCCACAAACTGTGAGATCATGACCTGAGCTGAAATCAGACGCTTAACCAACTGAGCCACCAAGGCGCCCCTAGAGATTTGTCTATTTTATGAGGCTTTTCAAAGAACCAATTTGGATTTTGATCTTCCTTGTTATATACTTGTTCTCTGTATTAATGATTTCTGCCCTTCTAATATTTCTTTTACTATAGTTTTTTTTAAGGATTTTCTTTTAATTCCATTTAGTTAACATACAGTGTTATATTAGTTTCAGGTGTATAACTAGTGATTCAACAATTCTGTACCTCAGCCGGTGCTCATCACAAGTGTCCTCCCTAATCCCCATTCCCTATTTCACCCATCCCCCCACCCTACTTTATTGGGGGTTTTAATGCTGTTCTTTTTTCTAACTTTTCATGTTGCATACTCTTAAACTTCCTCAATTTTTTTTTCTTTTTTCTTTTTTTTTAAAAAAAATTTTTTTTTTTTCAACGTTTATTTATTTTTGGGACAGAGAGAGGCAGAGCATGAACGGGGGAGGGGCAGAGAGAGAGGGAGACACAGAATCAGAAACAGGCTCCAGGCTCTGAGGCATCAGCCCAGAGCCTGACGCGGGGCTCGAACTCACAGACCGCGAGATTGTGACCTGGCTGAAGTCGGACGCTTAACGGACTGCGCCACCCAGGCGCCCCAATTTTTTTTTCTTTTTTAATGTAAGCATTCAAAGCTTAAATGCATCACAGATGTTGATATATAGTTTTTCATTATTAGTACAAAATATGTTCTAATTCTACATTCTCTATATTAGGTGTTTAAATTTCCAAATATATGTTTTTTCTAACTATCTTTTTATTATTGATTTCAAACTTATTTTGATTATGGTCAGAAAACATGGTACAGCTTGATTTATTCTATAGGTCATGACATGAAGTGATACCCTTTTTCATTCTTTTCTATTTCATTTATCATTTAAGTTTTTATTTCCTCTGATATCCAAAGGAGTTATTTAGAGGAGTACATTAACTTCTAGGAACACTGTGGGGAGTGGGGATAAAAAAATATCATATTTTTATCATTTATCTTTATCAAATTATGATTATGGGGGTGCCTGGGTGGCTCAGTTGGTTAAGCATCTGATCTGCTCAGGTCATGATCTCGTGGTTCATGAGTTCAAGCCCCCACATCTGGCTCTGCACTGACAGTGCAGAGCCTGCTTCGGATATTCTCTCTCTCTCTTCCCCTGTCCCACTTGTGCTAGTTCTCTCTCTCTCTCTCTTTCTCAAAATAAATAAATAAACTTAAAAAAAAAAGATTATGATTATGACTTACTCCCTGAAGTAAATCAACCACCTGGGAAGCAAGGTGAGGGAGCCTGAAGGATGCTATGCATTCTCTCCGGTACCTCCCCAGAAAGAAAGTGCAAGTACAGGTACAGGGCTTAGCTCTCTTGGTGCTGACAGCCAGTGTCAGTGGGGAGGGTCTGCTCTCTCGGCCCAGACTCCTTGGCCCAGCTCATAGCCTCTTCTAGATGTGGGGAAAGACCAGGAACCTGGTTTCCTGAGCATGTGCAGACTGCAGAGCTCAGGATTCCCTTGGGGCAGACCTCCACCTGCCCGACCTGCTGCCTATGGTCCTGGAGGGACAGCCTAACCATTTTTTAATTAAATTATAACTCACATATCATAACCTTCATTCTTTTAAAGTGCACAGTCCAGTGGCTTTTCGTATATACACAGAGTTATGCAACCATCACGACTACTTGATTCCAGAACATTTTCATCTCCTCCAAAAGAACACCTGTACCTGTTAGTCATCACCCCCAATCCTCTCTCCATCCAGCCCCCAGCAACCCCTAATCTTTCTATCTTCATGGATTTGGCTATTTCAGACACTTCATTTCAATGGAATCATATGAGACGTGGCCTGTTGGGTCTGGCTTCTCTTAGCATGTTTCAAGGCTCATCTATGTTGCAGCATATTATCATATTTCATTCCTTTTTAAGGCTGAATAATATTCCATGCTACAGATACACCATCTTTTGTTTAACCATTCATCAGTTTGTGGACATTTGGGTTGTTTTCACTTTAGGGCTATTATGAATAATGAGGCTACTTAATTATGAACACTTATATGCTTTCATACACCAGTTTCTGTGTGGTCATGTGTTTTCATTCCTCTTGGGTTTAATACCTGGGAGTGTAATTGCTGGCTCATCCAGTATCTCTGTATTTAACCTTTCGAGGAAGTGCTAGACTGTGTTCCAGAGTGGTGGCACCATTTTACATTCCCACCAGCAGTGTCCGAGGGTTCCAAATTCTCCACACCCTCAACAACACTCATGATCATCTGTCTTTTTTATTACAGCCACATTCGTGAGTGTGAAGTGGCATCTCATTGGTCTGCATTTCTTTAGTGGCTAATGACGTTGAGCATCAACATGTGCTTATGTGCTTACTGGTTGTTTGCATATCTTCTTCAGAGAAATATGTATTTAGATCCTTTGCCCATTTTTTAAGGTAGGGTATTTGTATTTTTACTTTTGAGTTGTAAGAGTTCTTTATATATTCTAGATATTAGCCTGGTTCTTTTTTTTTTTTTTTTTTTTTTTTTTTTTTTTTTTTTTTTTTTTTTCAACATTTATTTATTTTTGGGACAGAGAGAGACAGAGCATGAACGGGGGAGGGGCAGAGAGAGAGGGAGACACAGAATCGGAAACAGGCTCCAGGCTCTGAGCCATCAGCCCAGAGCCTGACGCGGGGCTCGAACTCATGGGCCGCGAGATCGTGACCTGGCTGAAGTCGGACGCTCAACCGACTGCGCCACCCAGGCGCCCCTAGCCTGGTTCTTTTTAAACTGACAAGAAAAGATACTACACTTGATCATAGCCAAAAGAGAAGTGATTGCCTCATTCTTTTTATTCCTGAACGCTGTGAGGATGACATGTGAATCAACCCCAGCCCCATAGCTAGGGAAAGACTGCCACTGGCACAAGGGGACACCTGGCAGCCCAGGAGAGCACTGTGCCAGTGTTTTCACCATTAGTCCCCAGGGGCAGAAACAACTGTCCACGGGACCTGAACAGCCGTAATAACTACTACATTTTACAGAGCTGTTACAAGGTGCCGGGCACCAGCTAATGACTTTACACATATCACTTTCTCTCCAAACAAGCTCTTTGAAGTAGGTATTATTATCATCCCCATTTGAAAGATGAGGCTCAGAGACATTAAGGAACTTCCACAAGGTCACACAGCTTCTAAGCATCAGAGCTTCAATTCTCACCCTGGTCTCCCAACTCTAAAGTTGACACCCCTACCCGTCCAGGTACACTGACTCCCAAACAGAATTCAAACGTTGCACTTCCCAGCCCCTCAAGCTCACTTCCAAGAGGGGAGATAGAAGCTTGAGACAGGGTCAGGGAGGGATGGGGGGAGACAGGGACTTCACCTCTGGTCTCACCATTGCTCTGGTCTCATGTCTGCTCTCCTCTCCTGCTAGTTTGCCCAGTACGCTGAGATTGTCAACTTCACCCTCCCTGATGGGACTCAGAGAAGCGGGCAGGTGCTTGAGGTGTCAGGGACCAAGGCAATTGTTCAGGTAAGTGGTGTCAGTGCCATGATGGCTGAATAAATGAACAGACCCAAAGTTCCTGACTATCTTATAAGCTCTGAAGGCAAAAAAAAGTCCTATTTTCCCAGAGTGTCTTGCCTAGAGCTGGGTTCCAAGGGAGCATAGAATGGAAGGCCCCATTGTCCCCAGCAAGCCCCTTATTAGAGTAACCTCTTGTCCCGTAGGTGTTTGAAGGAACCTCTGGGATCGATGCCCAGAAGACCACCTGCGAATTCACAGGGGACATCCTACGGACTCCAGTGTCAGAGGACATGCTAGGTAAGGGTGGGGGTAAGGTGGGACGGGGAGCTCCTGTGTCCTCCCAGCCTAGCTTCCCTAACCACACACTTAGCACTGCATAGCCATTGACTCTTTGCATGTCTGCCTCCCTGTGAGTTCGTACAGGTCAGAGGTTTTGTCCTCTCTTTGACCCCCAGCTCCAGCTCAGGGCTGGACATGCAGCAGATGTCCAGTAAATGAGGAAGGCAGTTTCAATAAACTGGAGGCACAGTAGGTAACCATCTATTTGTGGTTAGGCTGAAACAGAGTGCACATCCTCCAACTTTCTCCCAAGATCTGCCATACCTGGACCTCTCCTCTTTCCAGCCCTAAAACCCTCCATTAGAGTCATTTCCTGGGCCAAGACCTCTGCTGTAAAGATTTCCAGGCAAGGAGGGAAGATCCCCAAGGAAACAGTCACTGTAGCCAGCTCTCTGGGGATAACGGAGGGTTGAGGGGAGAGGGACATGTAAGAGGCAGGTGGGAGCCGGTGGTGGTGTGGATGGTGAGCAGCAGTGAGGGAGACGTGAGGCTGGCCCTAAGCATCTCCCAACATCCTCCCCCACCCTCAGGTCGGGTTTTCAATGGCTCCGGTAAGCCCATTGACAAGGGGCCAGTGGTCATGGCAGAGGACTTCCTGGACATCAATGGTGAGTGACCAGAGAGGCTCTGGACAGCTTTCAGGACCCAGCTTCCAACCACCTTCCCCACCCCTAGCCATCACCTTTGCCACCTTGCCCTTGGAAGTTCTGCCCCAGACACAGGCCAGGGGCAATTGGCCAGGGCTCACCTCCAAAGGCTGGTCAGACTACCAGGCAGATCAGGTGTGCTCTGAGCACTGTAGAGGCCTGTCTGTCCCCAAATCTGCCACAGAGCCTGAGATACTGCCGTAAGCCCTTCATATCCAGTTCCTTTAAATGCCATCATCATGTGCAAAGTTCCATGTGTGCCCCAGGACCATCACTCTCCTGCCTTCCAGTTCCCTGTCCCCACCCCTCAGAGCTGCCTGGGGTGGCTTGCAGAAGCAAACACAGCCCCTTCCCGGTGGGAGGCCATCCTGAGTCCTCCAATCCTGTCAGTTCTGAGGACAAGATGGAGGCCCACAGAGGCCTGTGGCTGGCCCCAAACCACTCAGCAAGTCAGAGGCAGAGCGGAGCAAACACATCCACTCAGGTCATCCTCAGTTCCTTCGTGCCCCACAAAACACCTGCTCAGCCTGGACTCCTCCCACCTGCCTGCTGCTTCCAATGTGCCAGGTAGTGCTATCCAAGGGAGTACTGAACTGTGGCTATTTAAATATGAATTAATTCAAATGGAATCAACTTTCATTTCAAAACCACATCTCATGTGCCCAATGCCACATGTGGCTAGGGCTAGTGTAACTGGGCAGTGTAGTTAGAGCACATTTTCATCACCACAGAAAATTCTGTCAAATAGTGCTGCTCTGGAGTCTGGAGCAGGGTTGGGGGAGGGCAGGGAGGGACTGGAGCCCTTGAGCATGGGTCCATGATCGTCCTCTCCCAGGCCAGCCCATCAACCCCCATGACCGCATCTACCCTGAAGAGATGATTCAGACGGGCATCTCTCCCATCGATGTCATGAATAGCATTGCCCGTGGTCAGAAGATCCCTATCTTCTCAGCAGCCGGGCTCCCCCACAATGAGGTGAGGCCTGTGGGCTCCTACAGACATGACCAAGAGGAAGGGATGAGGCAGAGGCCAGGGCTGGTGGGCCAGTGAGGACGGTCTCCTGTGTCAAGCAGTCAGGGGCCAGCCAAGCAGGGGTCTTCGCCATCCAGACTGACAGTTGTCCTCTGGCAGCTCATGGACTTGGAGCTGCATAGGCCTCCTCATTGTCCCCAAGCAGGTCTTCAAGCCTCCACCCTGGGAAAGGCTGTAGGGCCTGGGGCAGCCCTTTCGTTTTCTGCTCTGGGATCCCTCCTGCCAAAGGCCTTGGCAGGAGGATGGATTGGAAATTGCTTCATCCATCATCCCCAACGGTGCTGAGTGGGCTGGACTCTGGGTCTGGGCTCTGGTTCTGACGTTCTTCCTCCCAATCCACTCCACCCCAGATTGCTGCCCAGATCTGCCGCCAGGCTGGGCTGGTGAAGAAGTCCAAGGCTGTGCTGGATTATCATGATGACAACTTTGCCATTGTCTTTGCAGCCATGGGGGTAAGAGGAGCTGGGCAGATTGGCAAGTTCTGGCAGCCTTGTCTCCCTTGGACCCTGGCTCTGTCTGATCTGATGAGGGAGGCATAATCCTTCTCCCTGAGAAGCTGTCAGAGTCCAGGCCTGTCTGGTGGGAGAGGCAAAAGCATGACTGAAGGTGGGCTCAGTGACTAGGACAGTGTGTCCCTCAAGCCATCCCAAAGGACATGGCAGCTATAAGATGAGCCCAGGATGACCTGGAGGAGGGAGAAGCCAGGGAATTTGGGGAGACAAGACACCTTCAGAGAGGGGATATGATGGGGCCCTCAGAGGGCCAGAGGAGGGTTTTAGCAGGGGAGCAGCTGGCTAAGTAAGGGGTTGGGATGGCACTGAGCAGAGCTCAACCTGAAGAAATCTGAACTCTTTGGGAACCTGATGAGGTCCCAAAGATGAGAGCAACCCAGCCCCTGCCCTCTCAAGTGCAGGGTCATCCCAGGAACTATTAGCCAGTCAGTCAATAGGCTTTACTGAGAAGAGATGGGAGGGGCCAGGGCCCCTGCCCTTAGGCTGCAGGAACCCCTCTCCAGCCCTCCCTGCTGTGTGTCCAGGTGAACATGGAGACAGCCAGGTTCTTCAAGTCCGACTTCGAGCAGAACGGTACCATGGGGAACGTCTGCCTCTTCCTGAACTTGGCCAACGACCCCACGTGAGCCATCCCCTGGTACCCAGACTGCCTTCAGGCAGCAGGCCCCGTCCCCTCCCAAAATCCAGAGTACCAGGGCTCAGAAGTATCCCAGAACCACAGCCATTGGCCCAACCCCTGGTTGTGCGGAGGGGAAAACTGAGGCTCGGTAAGGGGTAGGGACAGCCCACAACCCTGCCTGCCACCTGCAGTCCTCTGTCCTTCCTATAGTCTGCATCCAGCCACTGTCCCAAGTCAGGGCTCCTCATCCTTGCACCACCACCAAAGTCCCCACTATAGACAGATTTCCTTAAATGCTTTGTTTGCATTTTTTTTATTTGAGTATAGTTGACATATACTGTCACGTTAGTTTTAGGTGTGCAACATTGTGACTGAATTTCTCTATAGGGTATGCTGTGCTCACAAGTGTAGCTGCCATCTGTCCCCAAGAAACATCGTTACCATACCATTGACTATATTCCCTCCACTGTGCCTTTCATCCCTGTGACTTATTCATTCCATAACTGGAAGCCTGGATCTCCCGCTCCCCTTCACCCATTTCACCCACCTCCCCACCCCTTCCCTCTAGCAACCATTCGTTTATTCTCTGTATGTATAGGTCTGATTCTGCTTTTTTGTTTGTTTATTCATCTGGAAAAACTGCTATTTTTAAAGTTTAGGAAATGTGAGTTTAAATCAGTAGGTCAGGTGGATGAAGAAAAAACATCTAATAAGCTGTCCTGGGTACTGAAGGTATTCCTAAAAGTAAGTAACAGAATTCTGGAGGCCAGGATGATGTCACCAGAGGAAAGGCCCACAGGCTCAGAGCTTGAGGATTGAGGGCACCTGGAGTCAGAGGAAGGGATTCAGGAGAGCTCCAAGTGGAAGGGGGCTGCCAAGCGGGCAGGGCAAGTGTACAGAGCACGCCCACTACGTGTGCTCTGGAGTAGTGAGGGGAACCTTACAGAAAGAATCCAGAGGGTGCCCCAGCTGAGCCAAGTGCAGGGGGATGAGGGGGCAGGGGAGGCTGGGGAAGAGAGAGCTACAGCAGGAGCCCTGCCCCTGCCTAGCTCTGATGGGCCAGAGCCCCTAGTTTTCGGGCCCGCAGGGACAGGGTGCTGTCACCCTTGCCAGACACTCCTGGCCCTGCCTGGCCCACTCTCACCCAACTCTCTGCCTGTCCCAGGCCCCCTACCCCTTCCTACCTTGAACAGGAAGGAGGAGTGTCAGGATCGGCGGACTGTCCACCCCCAAGAACCATAGCTGTGACCTGGGGGCTGGGAGCAGAGGTTCATCTTGTCTACTCCTCTGCTGCTATGCACGGTTCCCTTTCCACTCAGCACTGGGGCTAAACGGACCTCTGAGCTCTCTAAACACTGGCTGTACCTCCAGGATCGAGCGGATCATCACCCCACGCCTGGCACTGACCACTGCTGAATTTCTCGCCTACCAGTGTGAGAAGCACGTGCTGGTCATACTGACCGACATGAGTTCCTACGCAGAGGCCTTGCGGGAGGTGAGGCAGCTGGTGAAGGGTGTCAGGGTCACGCCTGCCTCTCCCTGGTCCCTACACCCCAAAGCTCTCCCACCCAGGCCTGCCCCTATTCCATTTCTCATAGTCACTGAACCTCCCACTCACCCTTCCTTGTATTAGCCTCTTGCCCCCTTCCTTACCCCAGTGACACTGGTATCGCAGGTCTCCGCTGCCAGAGAGGAGGTGCCCGGGCGCCGAGGTTTCCCAGGATACATGTACACAGACCTGGCCACCATCTATGAGCGGGCAGGCCGTGTGGAGGGCCGGGGAGGATCCATCACTCAGATCCCCATCCTCACCATGCCCAATGATGGTGAGCCTCTTCACTGCCCAATACCCTCTGCAGCCCTACCGCCCTCCTTTCCCACTGGGATGCTTAAAGGGCTCATGGTTTTTTGCATAGATGTGCAGTAGCTCTGTTCATCCATCAAGGAGTTCACTGTCTTTTCCTCGCCTCCACATACCCCATCACTCCCATGAGAGGAATAGAACCCACATGGCCCTGACTGGGTGGAGATGTGGGCTGTGTCTACACTGAGACTGCATTTCTTTGCAGATATCACCCACCCAATCCCAGACCTGACGGGTTTCATCACAGAGGGACAGATCTACGTGGATAGACAGCTTCATAACAGACAGGTACTGTCCCCTCTCTACCCACCTAGTGCTCTCCTCACCACCCCCAGAGACACTGGCTGTCTGATGCCCCATCACCTGCCGTGCTTGATTTCTCTGTGAATTAGGAGGGGCCAGGTAAGGCTAGCTCCAAAGAGGAGATGACCTGGGAAGACTGTGTGGTTCACAGACACAAGACAAGTCTGGCTAGAATCCAGCCTACCTGACTGGAACCTTGAGAAAATAATCTTTCTGATCCTAGGTTTCCTTACTTATAAAATAGAAATAATAGTATTTATCACACAGTGGAGTGCGTGGCGGCATGTAGAAAGCATCCAGCAGATAGTAGATACTAAATGAATACCACTTCTCTTTCCTTTCCGGTAATTTGCTTTGGTGAACAAAACAATGGGTAACTGACACAAGTAGATGGTGAATAATGTGCTAACAGGTGAGAAAATGTGTCTGTCCCATCTGAGGTTAAAGGCAACCCCTGTGACTTTTTCCTCTTTGCTTAGTAGGTTCCTTCTTTGCAGCTATTAACTAGGAAGCTTTAACCTGGTTTTTGTCCAAATAACCAAAAGTTTTTAAGTAGTGACTTTCATTACCTAATGTCATGTCATCTCCACCTTCCACCCTCCTGTCCAGGAGCACACCTATAGACACCCGCATCCCAAGCCCTAGAATCTGTGGGCCATAAAGGAGGGCAGGGTATGAGCAGCTCACCTCTCTGTCAGATGAGTGAGGACCAGTCTCTTAAGATTCTCAGGGGGAGGAGAGACCAGTAGGGGTAGGAAGGAAAGGAAAGTTTGGACCCTGCCTTCTGCCACTCGTTTCTTTTGCTCCCCCAGATCTATCCCCCCATCAATGTGCTCCCTTCCCTGTCGAGGCTAATGAAGTCCGCCATTGGGGAGGGCATGACGAGAAAGGACCATGGAGATGTCTCCAACCAACTGGTAAGAAGGAGAGGGCCCAGGGGCTGGCGGGTAAGTTAGTTTCAGAAGCTGTAGGTTTGTGCCGGTACTCGGACCACGAGCTTTTCTCTGGCAAAATCCCTCCCCCTTTGGGGTCCCCACACAGCCAAATTGGGAGCCATTGGACTTCTGTGATATGCCTGCGATAACCGATGGACCGTCCCTCCCCCCTTCACCCAGTATGCTTGCTATGCCATCGGGAAGGATGTGCAGGCCATGAAGGCGGTGGTGGGGGAGGAGGCGCTCACTTCCGAGGACCTGCTCTACCTGGAATTCCTGCAGAAGTTCGAGAAGAACTTCATCAACCAGGGTGAGGCGCATTGGGGGTGGTCAGGCAGTAACTCCCTTACCTGGCTACGTATGCACGCACGCACGCACATGCACACACTCCTACTCTGTCCCTAGGTCCCTACGAGAACCGCTCCGTGTTTGAGTCCTTGGACCTGGGCTGGAAGCTGTTGCGCATCTTCCCCAAGGAGATGCTGAAGCGCATCCCTCAGAGCGTGTTGGATGAGTTCTACTCCCGCGAGGGGGCGCCGCAGGACCCCGCGTCAGACACAGCGCTCTAGCCCTGCCCACAGTCAGACCCCAGACTGTGTCCTGGGACCCCTGCTACACCCGTTCTACGCACGCCTCGAGTTCCACACAGCCAACCAACCGCTTGAGTGCTCACGGTCCGCACCCCGCCCACTCCCACGCTTCATCCCTCTGCCTGGAGTCCCTGCACTGGGCAAGAACAAAAGGTTGTTAAGCCTGTATCAAGCACTTGAGAATCACCTAGAGAACTTTGCAAAATACCAAGGCCCAGGCTCCAACCAGATCAATTAATACGAATCTGTAGGCAGAAGTCCTCTGCATCAGTATTTTTCCCCCAGGTACAGCCAGATGGCAACCACTGGTATAGAGACTGTAAGATAACCCAAGGAAGGATAATTAAGGTTGACATACTTTCTAACCCCAACACATACATAGGGCTTGCTGTCATTCTTAGGATCCTAGCACCCCAGAAACAACAGCCCACAGAATCCCCCAACTGCCAGGACCTCCTCAAGCTTTGTCCCTGCAACGCATTGTCACTTTATCTTAATTTGTTCATTAGAAGCCAGTTGTTAAGGCCCCACCTGGGGAAGGTATCCAGTAGAATTTGCTGGCTTTTAAGGTGCATAGGAGGGGTGCTGACGCCTTTGGACCACTGGGGTTGGGAAGGCAAGTGGGCTACCAGAAGAGGTTTCCCTGGAATGAGGGAGAGCTGCTTCAGGGTGGAGAATCTGCATTTTTGTCCCTCCCTGTAGGTCTCTGTGGTCTTGGGAGAAACTGCGCCCCCCTTCTTAGATTTCTCTGGGGGAAATACCAGGAATGATGTGGCACAGAGGGGAGAAGGTAGTCAGAAGTGGGTGGTATGGTCGGGTATATCTACATTTGACCCTGGGGCCTCAGTAAACCTCTGATAAGCTTGGGGTCATTCCCCCCTGAGAAGGGATGGAATGTGGATACGGTTCAGTAACACTCAACAGTGACTCAAGCAACACTGATGGCCTGACTGCCATGTATTATAAAAACTTAAAAAGGCAAACTGAGGAAAACATTGACAGCAAAATATGTATAAAGGGTTACTATGTTAATAGGTTTTACAAATCAGTAAGAAACACTTTTAGGACCCTCAAAGAACAATGTGAATAAACAGATGATTCCCAGAAGAGAAAAACACTGATGATTATTTAACTCTTGGTAGTAATCAGGAAGTCAAATAAGAACATTCCCACTACCAAATTAACAAATGTTTATTTAAAGTCATACTATTCAGTGCTGGTGATGATGGTTCAAGTATTTGCTTTTAATAATAGCAAATTCATAGATAGCTGGCCCAGTCTCGCTGCTCCAATTCCCTCCCTCCTTGTTTGGTAGGTGGTATTATTCCCATTTTGCCAGTGCAGAAACTAAGACACAGAGGTCAAGTAACTCATCCAAAGTCACACAGGTGATGTGCAGTGAACCTGCTTGACTGCAGGTAGAAGTATAAATGAAGGGGGGCCTGCGAGTCTCAGTTGGTTAAGTGATCTCGGCTCAGGTTTCTTGCATGGGGGCTGGTGTGGGTTCCAGCCTGGGTCGGACTCTGTGCTGACAGCTTGGAGCCTGCAGCCTGCTTCAGATTCTGTGTCTCCCTCTCCCTCTGCCCCTCCCCTGCTCATGCTCATGCACGCATGCGCTCTCTCTCTCTCTCAAAAACAAATAAACATTAAAAAAAAAAATGAAGTGTAAATGAATATGAAACCTTGCCGGCGGGCAGTTAGGAAACACATACCAACCCTTTAAGAATGTTCATTCCTTTTTACCTAGTAATTCTACTTCCAGGAATTCATCCTAAGGAAACAACCAAGATGAATCATTGTTTTCCAACGCACATGTGAAATGATAGCATGTCCATTATGATGCTGGGTTGCGGTTGCGTCATAATGTACGTTTAGTACGTGGCATGACAGCGGGGGCCAGTTCATGATAAAACGCTAAACGAAAAGAAGTCCAAAAAAATATCTATATGATATGTACATACGTATCGTAACAGACTGTGGTTTCTGTGGGTGGTTGGATTCTGATTTTCTCGTCATCTTTTTCTCTGTTTTTACAATCAGCACTTATTAATTTTATAATCAGAAACAAAACCTCTGTGTCTTTTGGTTTGTGTGTGGTTGATGCTGTTTCCAAGGCGCGCAGGGCGGCGGGGATCCCGCGGCAGGATCTCCTGAAGACGGCCTGCCCGGCCGAGATAGCCAGGGACGCTAACGGGTCTTCGCCGCCCGGGAGCCGGCGGTTACTAAGCCGCGAGGTGGCGCGGCTCCTCGGAGGAGCGGCGCTGCCCAGAGCGCAAGTTCGAACACCCTCGGGAGGGTGGCGCGGGCGGGGGCAGTCCCCGCAAACAAGTGTCGCCATGCCGCCAGCGGAGAAATTCTCCCACAAGGTCTCCTGGGGTGGTTCGTCGCCCAAGCAGCCCAGGTGAGCCGGGGATGAGGTGGTCCCGGGCTGCAGGGCCTCCCAGGAGGGGCAGGGCCCAGTTGGGGTGGGGGCCTTGTGCAGGAGCCTGAGGAGCCCGAGAGCCGGGCTGGGGTCCGGGCTTGCCTCCGGAGAGGTGCCCGGGGACAGTGGCTTCCTCATTGCCCTGCTGACCAGCGAACCCTGGCCTGGCCTCCAGAAACACCCCGGTGCTCAGTCACAGCCCTCGCCGTCACGCACGTCCCCTCTGCAGGGCCTCCGGCCCAGACCGGGATTCCGCTTTCTCACTCACCTCCTCGCTTCCAACCCTCCACTTGCGCTACAACTCTAACCCGGATGAGTGGGACAAGAGGGCCATAGGGAGCTACTACGAGTTGTACGCGGCGGCGCTGGGCAACCTGGAATGGTTGCGGTTCTGTCTGAGTCGGCACCGTGAGGAAATCCCGGCAGATGACAAGGTGAGGCCTTGGAGCTTGGGGGCAAGACCTGAAGTCCTCTGCACTCACAAAAATCTCCTGACATACTTGTTCCCTGGCAAAGATGTGCCTATGCAGCATCCGCAGATGTCCTTTTCTGTGTAGATTGTCCTAATTCACCTTGCTACTGTGGGAGAGCCATTTGGGGGCAGCCAGCAAGGGTGCGCACATATGGGGCTGGGGGGTGGGAAAGGAGTGTGAGCAAGGGATCCCTGGGGGTCACGGAAGAGGGATGGGTAATCCTAAGGAATTGCTCTCTAGGATAGGTCGTGAGCCCTGCTCAGTCTTCTCCCGTCCTCCTCTGGTCTCCACAGGGTTTCACTGCCATCCACTTTGCAGCCCAGAGTGGCAAGCTTGCATGCCTGAAGGTCTTGGTAGAGGAGTACAAGTTTCCGGTGGACCTGCCCACCAACAATGGTCAGACACCCCTGCACCTGGCCATCCACAAGGACAACAAGACCATGATCCTCCCCTGCATTCACTACCTGCTTAAGCAAGGGGCGGCCCTCAACACGTGAGTCCAGCCTGTGTCCAGAAAGTCTCTTGGAGCGTGGGCAGATAGGAACCCCACTTCCAGGTAGGCAGATCCATGCAGGACAGGGAGAGGGCTATGGGGTGACAAGGACTGGGTCCCACATAATGCAGCCAACGAGCCCACATAGTGTGGTAAGGAGATCAGGCTCTGGGAGAGGACAGGCCTAGTTCACATCCCAGCTTTGCCATCTGCTAGCAAACGGAAAGACCTCAGGGAAGCCACTCGACCCTTAGCCTGTGCTCTGGTTCCCCAGCTTGTCAGTACACTAGAGTCACCTGTGGAGCTTCACAAATACCAGTGCCTGTGGTTTCAATCAAAGGTTGAAATTGGTATGGGGTGTGGTCTGGGCCTTGGAAAGCCTAAAATATCCCCAAGTATTTCTAATTTGCAGCAAAGTTTGGGAACTATTTCCTCGGTGTTTTCAACTGAAATTTGAGAGGATGACATGAGACTATTGTGATAATGGAGGAAGTACATGAAAAGGGCATGGATGGCATATGAGGGACTGCACTCATTCATATACACAGAGCGCCAAGCCAGAGTTGAGGAATAGAGCAGTGAAGACATAGAAACGGTCCCTGCTCTTATGAAGCTGATATACTAGTGCAGGAGCAGACAGGAAGTTAACTAATAAATGATCAAAATGACAATGTAGTGAGTGGTTACAAGAAATAAACAGGGTGATGAGGTGGTGAGTAAAAGAGGCAGGGAGAGGATCCATCTTGGAAGGGGAAGTCACCTCTAAGGACATGACATTTAAATTGCAGCCTGAAAACTGGGAGCAAGCCAGCCATGCAAAGAACCAGGGAAAAGTGTCCCAGGCAGAGGGAATATGATGCGCAAAGATCACATGTTGGCAAAGAGTGGGGCAAGGTCAGAAGATGAGGCTGAGGTGGAGGCAGGGCTCAGGTCATTCAGGCCTTGTGCGTCATGGCCAGGCAGGGGTAGGTACAGGAGGGCTGACTGACTTATGAACCAGTAAGGTTAGTGCCTCTAAGCTCCAGCCAAACCAGCTCTTCTTCCAGCAGTTCTTAACAGTTGCATTTCCGTATAATGAGACTTTTATCATTCACTTAGTCCAAACCCTCCTTCCACAGTTGAGGAAACTGAAGCTTAGGGAGGAGAAGGGATGTGCCAGAGTCACCCAGTGGGCTGGTGGCAGAGCAAGTCTGGAAGCCAGTTTGCCCACCTCTCTGATGGGCAGATGCCCTTTGTCCCTCCTCTCTGCCCTCTTCCCCCCTGGTGGGGCCCTCTACAGTCAGACATGCAATGGCTCCACACCCCTCCACCTGGCGGCCTGCCAGGGCCTGCTGAAATGTGTGAAGGTCCTGGTGCAAAATGGGGCCGATGTCCATGCCCGAGATGCCATGGGCTGCAAACCCATCGACTATTGCAAAATATGGAATCACCGCGACTGTGCCAGGTGAGAGAGTGAGAACCACCCACAGCCTGCCGCCCTTCCCCTGGGGCCCTCACCTAAGAACTTTTGAGAGGGGGGTCCAGGCTGGGAGAGAAGTCTGCTGAGGAGACTCCTGCCCAGGATATTATTCCAGGGCTTTCCGCAGGGCCTCACTCCTTTGGGTTTAGCATTACCCTTCCTTGCCCAGAGGCCCTGGGTCCTCAGCAGGAGGATGGTGATCAGACCATCAGTCACTTTCCTCTCTCACCTCAAATGACAGTAGTTAGTCAGAGGGGCCTTGAGCAGTGGAGGAATGTGTCTCTGGTGGCTCCTCTCACCCATATCAGGCCTTCAGCAGCCAATCTTCCCAGCCTTGGCTAAAGCTCAGTCATCAGAAGGATGACACACACCCCTACCTTGGCACCAGGTTCTTGAAGGATGCCATGTGGAAACGGGACAAGAAGGACTTTGCTTGTGAGATGGGGAAATTGAAGACGCTCAAGGACCAGCTGGCCCTCATGGAACAGGACTACCTGACTGAGTATCAAGTAAGCGGGAGGGGTGGACAGGGGTTCCCAGCAGCCACTGCTATCCAAGCATGTGAGCAGAGGACAAGTGCACTCACATGCACAGTTATTTAGAAGAGTGGATGGTAGCAATCCCACCCAGAAAAATCTTCCCTCTCCCCATCCTCTGAAATTCCACCCTTAAAAGCCACTCTTTTACGTCAAAAGTCCTGTTTTGTGTTAGAAAGCAAATACAGCTTAAATTAGCAAGAATTTATGGCACCCCTCCCTAGTGCATTGCCTCCTTCTGGATTAGGAGGAAAATCTCTAATGAGACCCATTCCCTGCATATACTGGGATTCACATTGGTTAAACAGACCCATCCTTTGGGGCACCTGGCTGGCTCAATCCGTGGAGCATGTGACTCTTGATCTCAGGGTTGTGAATTCAAGCCCCACATTGATTGTAGAGATTACTTAAAAATAAAATCTTAAAAATATGCATCCTTTCCAACAGACACTGTACTCTGTGCTAGGAACCTGCTGGACCCTGAGGCGCCAAAGAAAAATGAGATGTGGTCCCCTCACTCAAGAAGCTTAGGGTCTAGTAAAGGAGGTGGGTTATATTCCCACAGAGGAGGAAGGGTCCAGGAAGATGCCAGAGAGATAATGCTTAAGAGGATCTTTAAAGATGGGCAGCAGTTGGCCATAAGAAGAAGGGAAGGGGTAACCAAACAGAAGGAACAGACAGCCCTGTGGACAGGCCTAGAGGTACAGGAGAATGTGGTATATGCTGAGAGTAGGGGATCAGATGTGAGTTGGAGATTGACAAACTAGAGACTTGGCAGGGGCTCAGATCTATCATGGACCTGGGCTGGGGAAGAATGGGGAAGTAGCTAAAGGATTTTAAGCAGGTGTCATTATATAGGATGCGAGTCCAAAAAACCAAAAAGAAGATCCTGGGAATCCTAAGTGAATCCATAAGTGGGGAGGGCATCAGGCCTGGCAAAATCCAGTACTCCAGCTTGGTTCCAGCTGCATTTTTCTCCAGCTTTCTCAACCCTACCCTCTTCTGTTGTTAGTGTCACCCAGTCCCATGTGCCCAGAGGAGGCAAAGCTCATCCATTCCCATGACTCTAAACTTTCCCAGAAGCCCCTTGCAGCTCTCCCCTTATCTCTTACTGGCCTCATTGGATCATATGTCCATTCTTGCTCCAATCCCTAGAGGTAAAGGAAAGCCATGTGCTGGCTGACCTGGGTCTGGAGCAAGGCTGATGGAATTATTATGATTGGCTTAGCCTAATCAGAGCCTATCTCCCAAGCTGGGTCAATCTCCATACCACTTGATGGCTTAGCAACAATCTGGGAAGTGAGACACTGAAACAAGGGTGTGGAAAGGGGGCAGTTCTGTGACAAGTTGAAGGTTCAGTTCTAGTAGAGGCAGAAACAGAGAGGTAGGCTGAGTCATCACCACCCGGTGCAAAGAGCCAGCCAACTATATACCCTGACATACAAGGCCTACCACTTCAAGAAGCCTGCCCAGATCGACTCCCCTGGTTCCAGACCTTCCAAACCTTTCTTTCTCCTTCCAGAGTCAAGGATTTGCCTTTCCCCCCATCAAACCAGAGGTTCTCTTAGGGCAGGACATATCTCCACTACCAGACTGGGGGCTTATTTGGGGGTGAAGGCTTGTCTCCCCCATGAGACTTGAGGTTCCCCATAGGGCAGGGACTGTATCTCCCACTCACGCTGGAGACCTAGGGCAGAGGCTGTGTCAGATTGGAGGTCTCCTCTAGGGGAGAGGGTCTATCTGCCCCATCAGCCCAGGGGCTCCCATAGGGTAATAGTTGTCTCCCTGTCAGAACAAGGGCTCCCATAAGGCAGGAGTTCCTCCCATCAGACTTAGGTTTCCCCTGGGGCAGCACTGTATGATGGGTGGCCAATGACACCGGAGGTTTTCGAGGGCTATAGCCACAGGGCCCCCTTCCACAGAAGCGGGGAGGGGGCAGCCCTCCACAACTATCTTGTACCCTCTGATGTTGCAGAAAGAGCACCAAATTCTGAGAGAAGCTAATTTCAAGAAGTGGCTCCACTGCAAGCAGCTGCTCCGAGGCCAATCCCTGATCCAGACCGCCAAGCGAGAGCCTTGTACCCCACGCCAGGCTATGGCCCTCTCCAAGGCCACCAGGTACCAGGGACTGAGGCCTCCCAAGAGCTTCTACCCCTCCCCAGAGGCGCGCCTGCGAGAGACACCGCGGCCCAAGCTGCAGCCCTTGAGGACACACACGCCCATCTACATGCAGCCCATGGTCAGGCGGCCCAAGTCATGGAATGTTAGCAACAATCCTGCCAGATCACCCACCACCCAGATCGGCTACACGCAGGGCATCCGACTGGGTGTGCATCCAGACCCCAGCTCAGAGCATGACTTCCGCAGCTTCCTCAAGGTGAGGTCCGACAGGCACGGTAGTGCCAAACTGTGCACAGTGGCCGGCAACCAGGTGGCACCTGTGCCCCAGCTGCCTTTCGAGGTGATGGTCCAAGAGCTGTACCCTTCGGTGCGGCCATACAGGATGAAAGTGCCCCAGGGCTTTTGCTCTGTCAGCATGAAGGATGTGCCCCAGAAGCGGCACTTGGGTGGTAACAACTTCTGGACTGACGCTCTGGCCATGAACCTGCGCGAGACATTTGATGAAGCCTTCCTGGCAGCTGTGCAAGCCCATCAAAGGCTCCCCACTCGACCCTACCTGAAAAGTCCCCCATAAACTTATTTTGGTAGGCTCTCTACCTGAGGCAGCCCAACGGAGGCTGAGATGTGATTCATGGTGTGGACGGAAGACAGGGAGAAAAGTGCCCACAGGCTTCCCACTCTCCAGCACAAAGATCTGAGCTTCTCTCAACAAAAGCCTATATCCCAGGTCTCCCTTCTCCACAAAGAAATTTCTTGGACCCCCTCCCCCCCAGGAGATTTAAGTTAGGGAAAAGGCCTCAGAGTGGGGATCAGTCTCTATCCTGGGCCCTAGCATTGTAAAAGTGACACTTGGGTGTCCCCAATACCTCCCCTCCCTCTCAGCCCACCAGGAACAAGGCTTCCAGGATGAGGGACCGCTGGAAAATTCTGCCTCTTGTTCAGATTAAGTCCTTCAAGGTTTCTGTAGATCAGGGAGGCACAAGCAGCATATCTCGGGGGAAAGGAGGGAGGACATGTGGCTTCAGTTCGAGACTATAGAAGCACTTGCACTTCCTCCAGGTAGCTATCCTGGATCCCCTGCTATCCCCTGTACACATCACTACAAATCATTCATTAAACAAACATTTATTGAGTGCTTTCTATGTACCAGGCACCAAGCCAGGCACTGTTGATACGAAAACTGAGGGACAGTCCCTGCCCTCAAGGAGCTTACAGTCTAGTGGGGAAATAGACCAGTAAGCAGGCAAGTAAGCCTAGAGTGAATTGTATGGTGTGCTGGGGGGGAGAAGGAACAGAGCTCAGAGGTAATGAAACCTAAGATGAGAAGGTACCCAGGTGAGCAGAAGAAAGGGGAATCAAAGTGGCATCTCTGAATACAGGAGGCTGGAGCACATGGTGCAAGGTAGCAAGTGATGAGACCAGAGGCGAGCAGTAACCAGATATCACAAGTCTCACAAGCCATGCTAAGGGGTCTGGACTTTATCCTGAGAGCAGTAGGGAGCCATGAAAGGTTGTAGGCCAGGGAGTGACCTGATCAACTATACATTTTAAAGACAACTCTGGCTGTGGGACAGAGAAGCAGAAGGAGGCTGTCACAATAATCCAGGTATGAGTTGATGACAGTGGCAGTGGCTTGAATCAAGAGATGTTAGGAAAGTAAATTTAACAGTTTTTAGAGACTGAATGGGGGTGGGGAGGGGCCGAAAAAGAAAGCAGGGCTAGAAAGCCGGTTTCTGGTCTGGCTCCTGAGAGGTCTTGGGGCCACAGCAGGTACCCAAAAGAGGCAGGTTTACAGAGGACAGCAACAAGTGCTCTCTGGCCCATGAGAGTTGTCTGTGCACCCAAAGGCAGAACTATGTAGTTCAGAAGACCAGGAGGGACATCGGGGCTGGAGGTCAACTCTCAATTCCTTGGCAAAGAGTCCTTGAAGCCATCAGCATGGATGGGCTCCTCCAGGGAGCCCACAACAGAACCCTGAGAAACCCCATGTGTGGGGGGCAAATGGAGAGGCCTGTGCAGGAAACTGAAAGGAAGAGCCAGAGGTAGGAGGAAAACCAGCCAGAGGAGTGCCAGTAAAGTGCAACTCAAGGAGCTGGGGGTGGTCAGCCCTGTCAGATGCTGCAGAGATCCAGTAGGATATGAGAGGACTTAGCACAAAGCCACCGGCAACCCCCAGGCGAGAAGCCATATCATCATGGTGAGGAACAAAGAAGTGGATGGCAAGGGAGAGCAGGGCCAGCCGCTGACCCACAGTGAAGATGGTATCGGCCTCCTGCGTCTTCCACCTTGTCCTCCCTTGTCTGCATAGGATAAAAAGGCCCGGCCATCTCCTCCCCACGAAGAAAAAACCAAAATGTGCTACTCCTCTCAGGGAAAGGGACAGGCTGGTATTTTTAAGAGAACAGGAAACACTAACATCAGGAGATGCAGGGCTGTGGTGGGACTTGAGGCAGGATATAGAAAATTTCAAGCACAGACGCCTTCCCCGGCTTAAAGGTACCACAGGTGCACTGTCCATCTCTGCACCCGCCAGCCTCGCTCTGAGGTAGAGGACGTGGCTAGGAATGGCTCTCGGGGGGGCTGCACGCCAACGTGTACGGCTGAGTACTTGCAAGGCACTGTAGCTGGAGTGCAAAGTCAGCATATACTGGTCTGTGCCAGGATCTGGCCTGCCTTCTTACAAGACTGAGGTCATCTCCTCAGGAGCCAAGAGCACACAGAAGAGAGGGCCAGCCCTCGTGTGCTCTTAGAGTAACAAACCATTTCTCCCCTCAGTCCCAGTTCTTAAAAATTAGGCTGTAACCCAGGCTGCCTGGAAGCCAATTTCTATTTTGTTTCTCCTCAGGCCTGAGACAGAATTCGGCCAGAAACCACTCCTTTTCCCCAGGGGAAGACTTGCAAGTAGGATATTGCAGATATTCTGAAAATCCAACCCAGTCCCAAACTGGGCCTCTCTGTTCCCAGTTGTGACAGCCGTGGAGCCGCAGGTAAAGAAGAGATGGATGAAAAGGGAGGGGGCATGAGAAAGGCCGCCTCCACCCCAACTCCCCTGATCTGGCTCAGCTCCTCAGCTCCTCATCGCTGCTCATTTCCCACAAAAGGCCATGACAGCAGTCCCTTCGAGAGGGCAAGACCCAAACCCAGAAAAGGAGCCACTGGAACAGAAAAGCCCGTCCAGTCCAGGGCAGAAGAGCAATAGGAAGAAAGGGAGATGAACTTTCAGGGTATTAAGGCAAACAGTGCCACCTAGAATCTTTATTCAAATGGGAATCAGCACTTGGACAGAAATCACAGTTCAACAGCAAAAACGATTTCTCTTGGAAGTGCCAAGCCATGGCCCCTCCCCACGGCCATCTGCCCAGAGAACTTATCCCTATTTGCTCTCCAGCTTCACAGCCCCTGCCCCGCCTGCCCAGGCTGAGCCAGAACCTCCTGACCCACCACAGAAGCTGGCAGGAGGGTCGCAGGGAGCTCAGCTTCCGCATAACCAGGTGGACCATGGCCTCCTGGCTAAGCAGGCTCTGCCATCCCCCCGGTGCCCTCTGAGGTCACGCCCTCTAGCAACGTCAGATCTGAGCCAAGCTGAGCCCCTCGAGGAAGGTGGGGACGAGGGCTTCAGGGAGAGTCAAGGGAACGAGGGCCAGGGCTGGGGGAAGGTGCCTTCCAGGCTCACGGCCCCCACCTAGTGCAGAGGCCCAGGGGCCTGACTCTCCTGATCTTGCTCCCACATCCCCTCCCCAAGGGGTTCAGTATATCTTCTGACGACTGGGTAGAATGGCCTCTTTGATGAAGGAGAAGACAACCAGGATCCCTAAGCGTTTGCCCCGCTTGCCTTTGGTGAAGTAATTGGAGACCACGTCATCTGTGGAGACATAGGCAGGGAGATGAGTGTGTGTGTCTAAATGTGAACACGGCTCTCCCCACCTGGAGCCCAAGTGTCTCCCTCACAGGGCTGGGCTCTGGCTCCCCGTGTAGATCCAGGTCTTCCTGGTGTCATCCCACCATGACCCGTGACAAACCCCTTCTCACCTCCTGGCTGCATGGTGGAGGGCAGGATGTTTTCCCCAGCCGACAGCGACACAAAGAACGCAAACGGGATTATCCACAGACAGAAAGTGAAATAGGCCAGGACCTGGCAACAAGAGACACTGAAAAGAGGGTGCCCCGTAGGTGCCAAGGGTGGGCCGGACATGGTCACCGTGTATCTTACAGAGGCGCTCAAGGGTGCACAGAAGGCCCCACACCTGATCTCTGAAGGAGGCCAGGGCCCAGGAAGCAGAGACAAGACAACCTCAGACACGGAGATAATTCAGTGGGGAAAGGTGAAGGCTGAGGATGGCTGAGTGTGACCACAATCCCCAAATCCTGGTCACTAGGACAAGCAATTCCTCTGAACTAAAGGAGGCAGATGGAGGGCAAAACCATGGCTGACCCATATTCCCCAAAACAGTGACCCTGTTCTTCCCGAGGGTCAGAACTGCAGCAGCAGGGTGTGGAGGGACCCAGAGAGGAGAAAGGCTTGGCGGGCCACTGGGAGGAGCCGGGCTTCAGGACCGCAACCTGCCCAGCTCCGTGAGATGTGCATCAGCCAAGGCCACCCCCCTGCCCCATCCTGACCTCAGGTGATCCTGGGAGAACCAAAGGACTTCCCGTGGGAGAGCAGTGTCCTCCCCACCTCTGCCAAAGGGTTCCCTGGCTCCTCATCCACACTGCTTTCTAAAATCATCAGTACTATTTTTTTTTAAATGTGTTATCCCTAAATAGACTGTTTCAAATCATAGCTAAGTTCACAAAGCAAATAATGCAAGTCCCCTTTACTTCCCCTGGCCCTGCTAGTAGTTCGACGTACTGAACACTTCTTACCTCTGAGAAAGGATAATATTCCTCTGCAAAAAACTGAAACGCTAGGTAGTGATTCACCACCACTAGCCCTGTTGAGGGAATGAAGAGTCAGTCAGTTTGGGGAGAATAACATAAAGCTAGACTTTTAACCTTCAAAAGGCCCCTGGGAGTGGGGAGCCCTGAGTCTCGGTCCTGATTTTACACCCATCTCACAGTATGGCTATAAGCCAAGCACACCACCCTCCAGAACTCAGTTTTCCATCTGTTAAAATGGGAGCATTAGCTCCTGCCTGCCCACTGCAGAAGGCATTTATGAGCAAAATTAGAAGGCATTAAGAAAGCTCTTTGAATGGTTTAAAAATGAGACTTTAATGTTACCTAATTCAAAGCACTGTGACAATCAACCTGGTTTTAAGTGGACGTGAGTCCTGAAGAGTGCTCTCCCATGGGCGTGGGTGCAGGAAATCATGGGTGTGCAGGTACCAAACATACTGCCAACAGATTCTACTCTGAACTGGGCAGCAGGGAGAGGGCCTCAAATAAAAAGGCTCTCTCTCCTCAGGAATAAAAGGGCACAGTTTGCCAGGCACACTTTTAGGGATCCTCCAGATTCTGGGGGAAGGGGCCCTTCCTCGTTGTGTCCCAGGGTAGGGCTCCCTGGTCTAAACTAGTATGTTCTGGACAGACACCCACCTCCTTAGTGTACACCCACATTCATGGAAGGAGAGGTAACGTGTAGATCCCGGGGACGGGCTGCTCAGAGACAGGCATCCCTGCCTGTTCTCACAGTGAGGTGAAGGGCGGGCACCAGAACAAAGCGCAGCCTCAAACTGAACGCCCCACACAAACACCTCACAGCCCAGTGCCATGTCTTGCTTCTCTTTCCTCCTCTCTGTGTCTCCCTTTCTAAGGGAGAGCTCCACCATACCTACCCATACTCTAGAAATGAGGCGAAACTGGAAGACAGACGGTGCCTAATGCCCACACATCTTCAGACGAACTCTCTCGGGCATCTAAAGGGCAGGTTGGGGGAATGACAAAGGGAAGCCAAGAGGGCCTGCTGCTGTGGGGGGATGGGGAGGGTTCTATCCCCTGGGAAGATGCAGGAGGGGTCTGGTCTCCAGACTCCCCACACCAACCTCCACTGAACACATCCTCTGGTGGAATCAAACCAAGGTGCTCAGGGAAGAGGCCAGTCCTTGCTTTAATGCTATGCCCTCCTTGTGGATAACATTCTCTTTCCAGATTATCCCACAGAAATAGTAAAGTGGCTCTAAGAAACCCCCAATTACATCTCATATCCTGACCAAAGGCTAGATGACCAGTAATGTTTAATGGGAGAAAAGGCAATCCTGGTAACCAAACACTTCCCGGAATCTTTTCTGGGAATATCTATAATCGCCTACCGTGTGTCACTGGAGTCCATCATCTTTAAACAGATTGAGAAGCTAAGGCCAGAGAGGAGAAATGACTCTCAGGACCAGAAAGTAGTGCCAGGTCAAAAACAGAAAAGTCAGGGTCCTCCAAACACATCTGTCTACCCCAAGGCAGGTGCCTGCAGGGGGACCCAAAGACCCTTGTATTAAGACTTCGGGGCAGGGGCGCCTGGGTGGCGCAGTCGGTTAAGCGTCCGACTTCAGCCAGGTCACGATCTTGCGGTCCCTGAGTTCGAGCCCCGCGTCAGGCTCTGGGCTGATGGCTCGGAGCCTGGAGCCTGTTTCCGATTCTGTGTCTCCCTCTCTCTCTGCCCCTCCCCCGTTCATGCTCTGTCTCTCTCTGTCCCAAAAATAAATGTTGGAAAAAAAAAAAAGACTTCGGGGCAGACGACTAGCTGGCGAGCTACCTGCCTTGCCAGGGTGGGGCCCTGGGCTTTTCCTGACTAAGTGGTTTCTTAGGAGCCATAACTATGCAGCAAACTCACCTTTTCTCCCTTCTCAAACTTACCTCCCTGGGAAAGCCCTCCCTGTCTGAGTATCCCACCCCTACCACCCCATCCCCCCAAATTCTAGTCACTAGAGCCAAGGTTCACTCTAGGCTCCTCAAGTGTGAGTACCCCAAGTTCCCCATCAGCCTGGCCTCCTGGAGGACCTCAGTGGTTTTGCCTCTTTTCTCTATATCCCCACAGTGCGCCTGACTGAGCTGGGCACATGCGACCACCTCAACTGCCTCCCCAACTCTGCCCCCTCTCACCGCACGAAAGGATGAAGTTAGGCGAGGTCAGCATGATGAAGGGGAAGGTCTGGAGGAGGCCAAAGTAGACGAGGTTGGTGAAGAGGCCCACGCCAATCATGAAGGTGGGGAAGCGTTCAAAAACGTAGAGGCCAATCAGCACAGCCGTGGAGAACTGAAACAACCAGAGGTACACAGTGCAGGGAGCCTCTTCCAGGCAGCCTTCTTGGTCTCAATAACCCCCAGCCCACTCCGGGGAACACTAGGTTCATATGCTTCAGTCTCCTCCTGTTTCACAGTCACAGGTCTGGCCTCCCCAACTTGTCTCTCAGCTCCCAAAGGGCAGCGTCTTTTCACGCCATTCTCAAAAAGTTGACAGCAACCCACCATAAAGGAAAAGAAAACAGTTTACAGATCAAAGTTCAAACTTCAATTCTAGTCTTTTCTGTTTTCCTTAAAATGCTGATCATGACCTACTGAATTGGTTACACAACCCAATAGTGAATGACACCTGCAGTTTGAAAAAACACTGTTCTGAAGGACTTATAGCTGTCAGCACTTAACAAATGGCAGTTGGCGGAATGAAGCTATAATTCCTACAGCAACACCCACAAACCAGGCCCCTGAACCCAGAGCTGAGAGCTATGGTCTTGTCTCCACTATTAACCCTCCACCCCAAGCCGTGCCCAGAGTGGCTGTTGACACCAGGTGACTTGAGCGGCACTGGGCTTCTCCCGTCCAAATATATGCCCCATCCCCGGCCCTTCCTGCAGCCGGCAGGAATCTGACCGCGCCAGCAGGCACTCTGGTAGCTTTGACATCAATGGCAAGGATTGTGTCCTCAGGAACAGAAGCCTTCCATGAAAGCTCTGGAGGGCAGGGCTTGGGCAGGCTTCCCTCTCTTAGGACAAGCCACTTGACCCAGTCAGAAAGAGGGCAATGAGTACTCTAACTCAAGTACTCAAAACTGTCCTTAGGTCCTTCTTAGTTCTAAATGCCATGAGCAGAGCAAGGGGCTACAGACAATGGGAAACAACCAAGCAAAGGCCAGGCCGTGGTGCTGTCAACAGAGATGGCACTCAGCTGTCACCTGAAGGAACTGAGTGAAGCAATGCCACTTGGGGAAGGAGGTGAGGGAACACCTGTTCCAGACAGCACACTCAGGAGCCCAGGTGCAAGTTGAGGGGATAGGGGTGGCACCCTCAGGAAACAGCAGGGACACAGGTCTCATTATCCATGCCAAACTTTCCCCACTTCCTCCTTTGGAGGCAAAAGGGGAAATCCTGGGAAATCTGCCACTTACCCAGATCATGTATTTTATGATCCTGCTGGTGGCCACTGTGTATTCTTCTATCAGTTCTGCCAGGTAATAGAGTCCAGCAGCTGAGGGGGTTAAGAAGAGGAACAAGCGGGGAGAACATTAGCCAGAGTCACTTCACCATCCTGGTCGTTCCTCTCTCTGCAGCTGGTCCCCACTGACCCTTCATGAACTCCAGCACGTAAGGAAAAACCAAACATCCCATGTGGTGTCCTCCCCTGACAAAGCAAAACCGTCAGGGCAACTAAGGAGACTTCATAAAACTGAATGAAAGCCTGTATTTGACGCCTCAGCACAATGCTAACCTCTGGTTCGTAAAGGACAAGTTCATTCATTCATTCAATAATATCTGTGGGCACCCGGCACGGGCCAGGTGCTGGGCTGAGTAATGAGAGTACAGAATAAGACAGACAAGGTCCCTTCCTTGACCCAGCGTGGGTAGGTGGGTAGTAGGCAAAGGAATCAGATGATCCCAGTGTGATAAGCCCTACTTCCGAGAAAGCAGAGGGCACCACCAAACCCCATAAGGAGAGCTTCCTTGAGGAGATGACATCTCAGCTGGGACCAAGAGTAGGAACCAGCCGGATGGAAAGAGAAAGCGTGTCAAACTCCGAGAGAGTAGGCAGTACAAAGGGCCGGAGGCGAAAGAGCGGCGATAAGCCTGGAAAAGTTCAGCTCCGTAGGCCCGCGAGGGTGGGACCCGCAGCGGCTGGCAGTGCGCGAGCTCGGGCAAGGGGCAATGGAGTTAGCCACTCCCAGGCATTGCCGGGGTGCATTTTGTGACACCGGGAAGGACCCGCGGTCCCGAGGGCTGCTGGGTTCAGCAAGAGAGGGCAAGACCTGACGGGACGAGGAAGGAGAGAGATGCGAGGGCCCGGAGCACCGGACAGAAGTCCCCCGGGTGGCTCCGGCGACCCGTGAAGCGACCACCCTCGAGATGCGATCCCCGGCCAGCACAGATGCCGGACGGGAGCCCGCGCGGATCCGGGTCGCGCACTCTCACCGACGGCCAGCGTGATGAAGGCCACCTGGATGAAGAGCGACAGCCAGCTCAGCACGTACATGAACCACATGGCGCCCCCGCCCCACCCGCCCCCCGACCGCCAGGACGGGCCTGCGCGCTTCGGCTCCGGCGACACGGAGCCGCCGCCACCGTCGCCGCGTCCCCGCCCCGCGGACAGCGGGACGACCGTACGCCGCCGCCGAGAGAAGCCCGGTCGGGGCGTAGCCCCCTGCCGAATCCGGCCTAGCGCCGCCTGCCGGCGCGGAGGACCAACCGCCGCGGCCGCGTACAGCACAGCTCTCGGGGAGCTGCATCCCCGGGGCTGCACCAAGGGGACGGCCGGCAACGCACGGCCGGCGACGCAGCTCGCGGAGGCAGGACTGTCCCGGGGGACAGGGAAGCGGCGCCTGCCGGAGGGACAGCCTTCGGTGTGCTCCCTGGGCTCTCCCGCTTCCAGCGTGGAGGGGTCCAGGGCGCGAGAGGGCCGCCTGACCGCTCCCCAAACAAGCACCGACCAGAAACCTCTAGGCAGGTTTGCCTACAGCACTTTATCTCGCTACCGCAGGTAACCGGGACACAATTGTTGCATGCCTAACGCGTGCCCGGCACTGTGATTAAAGGCTACATTGCATTTTCGAATTGGAAGCTGATTGGATGACGTAGATCATTTTATGGATAGGGAAGCTGGGGCCAAGGAAGGTTACCTTGCCTCAGGTCATACATCTAGGAAGCGGCACAGGCAGAAGTTGGGGCGCCTTTAAATCAGTCATCTTCAGGCGTAACTCTCCCTTTAGGCTGAGTTCCTTTAGGGTACTTTCTTCACCTTTGTATCGCCTGCACACCGCCACTGGCTGGCACGCAAGGCGCCCAGTTGCAGCCGAATGCATTTACTATCTACCATGGAGTGAGTTACCGAGGGGGAGGAAGGAGCAGGGCAGCCCTTGTTAAGAAGTTCTCCATCTAGTGGCCAAGACAGGCATGCAAACTAAAGTGTGCGGGATTCGGCCAGGCTACTACTCCTCTCAGAATAACCTTTACATGCATAAACGTAAATACAAAATTAAACATTAATCAAAAATTAAATATAGAATTACTATATGGTCCATCAATTACACTCCTGGGTATATACCCCGAAATATTGAAAGCAATGACTCAAAAGAGTTATGTATACACCAATGTTCACAGCAGCATTTGGTAGGCTCCTGGATAGGATAGGGCTGGTCACCAGAAAGACCAAGCCATGATTAGAAGCTTGGAACTTTTGGTCTCATCCCCCCATCCTCCACAGAGGTGAGAGGGGCTAGAGATTGAGTTAATAATCAGTCATGCCTCTGTGATGAAGTCTCCCTAAAAATCCCAGTACTGTGGGGTTCAGACGTTGGTGAACGCATCCCCGTGCTTGGAGGATGGCACACCCCAACTGCACAGAGACAGATGCTCCTGAGCTGGGGACCCTTCCAGACCTTGCCCTATGTGCTTCTTAACCTGGCTGTTCATCTGTATCTTTATAATATCCTTTGTAATAAACTGGTAAATGTAAGTAAATGTTTCAGAGTTTTGTCAGCCAATTACCTTTGAGTCGTCATTTCCAAGTTTTGTCTAGCAAATTACCCAACCTGAGGAAGGTGGTGTGGGAACCCCCTACTTTGTAGCCAAGTTGGACAGAAGCGTAGGTCCCCTGGAGACCCGTGACTGTAACTGGCATCTGACTTGAGGGCAGTCTTGTGGGACTGAGCCCTTTAACTTGCAAAATCTCACACCAACTCCGTGTGGTTAGTATCAGAATTGAATAAAATTATAGGACACCGAGTCTGTGTACAGGTTGTTGGAAAATTGGTTGATGTGAGGGGAAAAGCCCACGTTTGGTGTCATAAGGGTTGTGAGTAGAGAAACAGTTTTCCTTTATTACCACAATGACAAAGTATGAATGAACGTAAATGATGTTTCAAATTACCTTCAATCATGTGAGAGAGTTAGGGATATTACTAACAAGTACTATGAGTCTGTTGCCTTTATTCACCATGGAGGGAAATGTTTAGTTTCAGTTAGAGGTTATTAGTGCAAATAAGGTGGAATTTTTTTTCCTTCCAATTTCCCAGGGTTCTGGAGTTGATCTCCCTGAATTCTATGTCCACTGTTGACTTCTAAGGTGTCCCAAACCCCTGCTTAAGAATTCCTGAGAAGGGGGGCCTGGGTGGCTCAGTCAGTTAAGCGTTCGGTTCAGGTGATGATCTCACGGTTCATGAGTTCAAGCCCCACAGTTGGACTCTCTGCTGACAGCTGGGAGCCTGGAGCCTGCTTCCAATTCTGTGTCTCCCTCTCTCTCTGCCCCTCCCCTGCTCTCTCTCTCTCTCTCTCTCAAAGATAAATAAACATTTTTTTAATTTAAAAAAAAGAATTACTGAGGAATATGTATAAGGGACAGTGGGAGCTTAAAGGGCTGTGTGCCTGTTTATAAGCCTCTTTGTTGCAGCATGGGGAAACAATGAAAACGAAAGTTTATTAATAGGAAATTGGATAAAGTACCTTTTGATACATCATACAGTAAAGCCATAAAAACAAATGAGGATGGAATAAGTCACGGGGATGAAAGGTACATCAGAGGGAATACAGTCAATGGTATTATAATAGCGTTGTATGGTGACAGATGGTGGCTACACTTACGGTGAGCAGAGCATAGTGTATAGACTTGCTGAAATCACGATGTTGTATACCTGAAACCGATGGAACATTGAGTGTCACCCATACTTTAATAAAAAAGAAAAGAGTAGAAACGAACAACAAAAATGAGGATATTCTTTATGTACCCATGTAAGAGGATCCCCCTTTTGAATAAAGTAAAAGACTGGGGAAAAACAATCTAGGTATTCTTTATTTAGGTATTTCTTTACATAAAACATTTCTGAAAGGATACATTACAAAATGATAACATTTAAAAAAATGGTAACATTATGGGGTGCCTGGGTGGCTTAGTCGGTTAAGTGTCCAACTGTGGCTCATGTCATGATCTCGTGGTTCATGAATTCAAGCCCTGCGTCAGGCTCTGTGCTGACGGCTCAGAGCCTGAAGCCTGCTTTGGATTCTGTGTCTCCCTCTCTCTCTGCCCCTCCCCCGCTATCCCTCTCTCTCTCTCTCTCTCTCTCTCTCTCTCTCTCTCCCCCTCTCTCTCTCAAAAATGAATAAATATTAAAAAAAAATTTTTTTTAATGGTAACATTGCTTTCTTCCTAGGAAGAGAGGGTGGGGTTCAAGAGTAAGAGAGAGCCTTTCCACTGTATGTCTTTTTGTCTTCTTAATACATGAAACTATGTAAGTATATGTAAACACATTACCTATTCATAAATTAAATTTAAAATTAAAATTTTCATAGTATGCTGAATCTTCTGGGAGGGCTCAGGTTTCCTGTTTCACCCCATCCCTTTGTGAGAAAAGCCACCGTGTAGTGGCTTACAGGGAAGATGCCTAACCTTGGATCATGTGGCCTGGTCACCTGGGAGTTTGAATTTGAGACACAGATGCATCAGTGAGTAGAGGCACAATAAAATATCAATTGTTCTTATTTTTCCTAAATATTATCTTCCCTGGGAGGGAGAAGAATATAAAAGTATTCCCCCAGTCCTCCCAGAATTATACATCAGGGGAATTTGAGGGCCACAAAGTAAAGCGCGTTGTGGTGACTGACGCGTGGTTGTTGCTGCAGAGCTGGGTACCTTCACTTCCCCGCACTCTTAGGGCCCAATTGGCCCCAGGAACCAAGGCTTGAGCACTGGCATTTCCTCCCACAGCAGGAGAAGCCATAATTTCCTGAGAGCAGTGAGAAGCAAGCCCAAGGAACTGGCTCCCGTCTGCCCCACCTGACCCAACAGGGCTGGACAGGGCTCAGGGAGGCTCTTTTTTAAAATTTTTTTTTTCAACGTTTATTTATTTTTGGGACAGAGAGAGACAGAGCATGAACGGGGGAGGGGCAGAGAGAGAGGGAGACACAGAATCGGAAACAGGCTCCAGGCTCTGAGCCATCAGCCCAGAGCCTGACGTGGGGCTCGAACTCCCGGACCGCGAGATCGTGACCTGGCTGAAGTCGGACGCTTAACCGACTGCGCCACCCAGGCGTCCCTCAGGGAGGCTCTTCAGGAACGATGCTTAGTAGGCAGAAGGTCACAGGGGAGAGCAAACCCAGCCTCCCTTGAAGGAGGGTTGGGAGGAAGCAGGAGGGCTTCCCACCTTCAGTTCAAGGGACTCAAGAGTGAAAGGGTCTGTAGATTCAGAAGTTGGTTGATTTACATATTGACAATAAGTATATACACTTATTCCAATGTTACACACAATCCTTTAACTTTTACTAGTTCACACACTCATGTGTTACCATTTAATGCTGGCGTGTGTGGGGACCCATTTCCATACATGTCATGAGGATGTTCTAGGGGACATTAGCTTTCAACATCATATGGATCTCTTCCTCAAAACACTTAACTGCTAGCATTTATAGTGTTCTTACTCTGTGCCAGGCACTGTTCTAAATGATTTGTATGTATAAACCCATTTAATGTTCACATCTAGCACAAGAGATAGTGCTCCTATTATGTCCTTTCCACAGAGAAGAAACCTGAGTCATAGACACCTTGTCTATGGTCACACAGCTAGTACTTAGGAGAGGCGGGGTTTGAATCTGGGCAGTCTGGCTCCAGAGCCACTGTTTTTTCTGGTCTCTTAAAAGTCACTTGCTTTGTTGTGAGAGTGATTCTGCCTGTCTTGTCACCATCTGCCATTTGGCTAGTGGGCTGGATCCTGCTTTATCTCCCTGCAGCCTGCTGGACCTCTGGGTCTTCCTCTTTTCCCTCTACCTTTATCCTTATGGGAGCTGATGAACACACCTCCAGGTTCTGGTCACTTCCCATCCCTTCCTGCATCTTCACTCTGACACTCTCACAGCCTTACACTTTCCCTGAGCCCCAGGCCAGGGATGGGAACTTAGCTGGTTCTGTGGTCCCACTGGCCCACACAGCTGGGGCGGGCACATCCCCAGGGGCTGGGAAGAGCAGGACGATTCGGAAGGAAAAGGCTGGGGAGGGCAGCAGTGTGCAGCTTCAGTTCTGCGTCTTGGCTGCTGCCCTCTAGTGGCAGCCAGAGGAGCTGCAGAGGACCAAAGCCAGGGCTAGTTCAAAGTCTATTGAAGGAGTTTTGAGAGACCGTGGGAAGCCTTATCACCAGTGTTAAGTGTGGGCCAGGAGGGCACGCCAGGAGAACACACACACACACACACACACACACACTACACACAGATGGAGACAAAGTGCACATCGGCATCTGGGCCTCTGCTGCCCCTGCCTGGCCTGGCCTGGTTGTGTGAGAGACACAGTGAAGTCAGAGACAGACGGTGGCAGGCCTGGAGACCCAAGCCCCTCTTCCTTTCTGATCTTCTTCTCCCCCTGTGGAGCTCCTTCCTGCCCCTTTCCCTGTCAGCACCCCAGCCCCAAAGGAAGCACAGTTATGCCCCCCACTGTACACTCACACATACAATGTCACTGAATGATATCCCCTCTCCAAGATGCCCATGTCCTAGGGGAAATTTTTCCTAGGATGGTCTGTGTAATCAGCAGCTTTATTGTTTGACATCTCACCCCTCTGGTCTTTGTTTTGCTACAGTTTAGCCAGAGCAAAATTTGGTTAAGAAACAAACCACAAACAATGAAAAACAATGACCCCTGCTATGTTCACATAATCTATACGTCCCAGGATTCTAGGCCTCCTGACCCTGTTTCTCTGCTCTGCTTCCCCCACCCCAAACAGCTGCCCTGGTGTTCCTGGCACCCCTGTCACATGCCTGGGGCCCCAACTCAAGTGGCTGAATTAAAGGGCCTTCTAATGACAAGTCCTCAAAGGGCTCTATTA